CCCTGCACTGCCCGCCCAAGCACTGCTTAGAGGTCTCCCCGAAAAAGAAAAAACGTGGGTCCCCTTTTTATCTTTGCCATACCATGGATGGAGACCAGGGCCTCCCAACATGATTGAGGCATGCTTGCACTTGACCACTGAGTCAAAGGTGGGGGCTCTGAGGAGATGGGGAAGGACTTCAGGGCCTCATGCATGCACAGCAGGCCTATTTTTCTAAGAGAAACTGTATCACGAGGTCTCACTGATACTCTTCCATTCAAACTTAGAGTCATAGAATTTTATGAACTTTCTTTAGTTTTATTTTCCTTACACTGAAAGTCATTTCTTGGGGGGACGGTCTCCCAAGCAATGCTTGGGTGAGACTCAGCCCAGCAGGCCAGAGTTCAGTGCTCGGGCCTCGGGATGTGATGCTGCGTGGGACTTGGCACTAAAATTCTTAATCCAGCTGACAGGATAGTTACTTTTTGTAAAATCCCATGGTATATAAAAATTATTTGGGGGGGGATCAGAGAGATTGTTCAGGGGTTACAGAACTTGCCTTGCATGTGACCAAACTTGGGTTTAATCCCTGGCACCCCAAATGGTCCCCCCACGACTGCCAGGACTGATCCCTCAGCACAGAACAAGCCCTGGGCACCACTGGGTGTGACCCACAAAAACAGAAAGAACATTTAGGGTGCCAGAGAGCTATTGCAGCTGACCCCATTTCACTCCCCAGGACTACAGAGGGTCGCCTGAACACCTGCGGGAATGGCTTTGCTCACAGAGCTCCCAGTTAGTAGCACTGGGGATTGTCTGCCCCCAATGTTTGCTTGGAATAATCGTAATCATAATGTTATTGGGGTGGGGGACATGCAGCAATAGCCAGGTACTCTGCACTGTTTGGTTCTTAGGTGCTGTTCCTAACTGTGATTGGGAGACCCTGTGGAGGTGGGGGTTGAATTGGGGTTTCTTCAGGCAAATCCAGGTCTCCTGAATGCTGAGCACATGCTCCAGCCTGCTGAACTATCTCCCCAGCCCTTCATTCATTTGTATTTTGTCACAATTTTTCCTTTTGTCATTTGCAGTTTCAATTTTCCTCATGTTGACTTCGTCCATTAAAAATTTACTTAGGGTTTTTTGGTTTTGGAGTCACAACTAGTGGTGCTCAGGGTGTATTCCTGGCTCTGTGCTTAGAGATCTCTCCTGGCTTGGGGGACCATATGTGGTGCTGGGGTCAGCCGCATGCAAGGTGAGTATCTTATCTCCTATTCTATCTCTGACCCCGAAACTTTCCTTACTATGTTGACCATTTTATCAATATTCTCCCTAATCGATTAGTACTTTGTTCCTCTTTTATATGATAAATTTGTGCATGTTTTCTTCTTGTTTTTGTAGCATTTCATTTAAGAACATACTCTGCAATTTGGAATTTATCCTGCTGTCTGATATACAGAATGGATCCAGTTTTTTTTCTTTTTGGGTCACACCCATCGATACAAAGGGGTTACTCTTGGCTCTGCACTCAAGAATTACTCCTAGTGGTGCTCAGGGGATCTTATGGGATGCTCAGAATCGAACCCAGGTTGGCCACATGCAAAGCAAAGGCCCTACCTGCTGTGCTATCACTCCAGCCCCAAGAATTGATCCAGTTTTAACAGGGAAATACCTGATGGTGCTGCAGGATTGCTTCTGGTGCTGGGTCAGAAACATGCAAAGCAAATGCCTTAACTCTGGTACCATCTCTCTGGCACCAGTTTTATCTTTTTCCAGCTTGACCTCATCATCATTTAAAAGTCTACTTTAGAAAGTTGGAGTGATACTACAGCGGGGAGGGCAGAGCCAGGAGTCACTAATGAGCATCGCCCACTATGTCCCCAAAACAAAAAATAAAAGTCCACTTTAGGTTCAGAGGGCTTAAGTGGGCAGGTGGCCAGGTTTTATCTCCAGCATGCTTGGAGTGACCTCCCCAAGCACTGAGTTAGGAGTAGTGCCTGAGCACTGTTGAATATGGCCCCCAAACAGAAGTCCACTTTCTTTCCCCTGGTGATTTTAGATTCCTCTTGTGTCACATACTAACATGTTTCCTATCCCAAATATCAAAATTAAGACTAGCAGTTCCCTGTGAGCACTGTTGGTAAGGGGAATCTTACATTGCACGACACTCTTGGCTAGTGGGCTTTTTCTTCCCTTCTGGAGAGATTGAGTATTTATCCTCATTAGGAAATTAACATTTGATTTTATGTCAGTGAAAACGGGTGTGATACTTAAACATTCTTCAAATAGGTTTACAATTTTTTTGCTAGAGGTTGTTTGAGTCCATTAATTTGAATTGCCATTTGCTTAAATGATGTGTTATAATGTGGTAAGAAGGAATCAAAGGTTTTTGTAATGCAATACTTCTGATTTCTAAGGACTTAAGTGATTAAATACTTTTCTGCATGAGTTATAAAAATTACTGTTACAACAGAAATTAATATGTTCATCATAATTCACTTCTTCACCTATAAGATTTCTCTTAAGAGCTTTTATTTTTGGTGGCAGTTAAGTTTCAAATTGTGCAACAAATATTCACACCGAGTGGAAATGGAAAAGGCCAGCAGTGGGAAAACTGGCAGAGATTCAGGCTCTAGTAGGGTTGGGCAAAGGCAGCAAGGGAGGGAGTGGTGCTGTGTTTATGTCTGTAGGCTTCCCTCCCCGGGAAATCATCTCATATGGAATATTTATTTGCTTGTGATCATTTCTAGCCATCTACACTCTGGGGGAATACTGTAATCCAAAGTAATGAGGATGACAGCTTATACAAAATGGTTGTTCTAATCGAGAATAGTAAATTTTTAGTAGAAACTTATATGTTGAGTTCATGCATGCCCAGTTCAATCAACTTAATTAATGGCTGAATAGCAGTACTCCTGCAACAAAAAAAATAAACTTAAGCTATAATGATTCTCATTTTGACTATTGGATCAGGTCTGGATAGCCGTGAATCTTCAAGCTGAGGATCTGGAAATTTTATAGACAGAAGTGGAGAAACTGCTTTTTGGCTCACACCAATGTTTGTGTGAGCTAAAAAAAAAAAAATCAATGTTTGTATCAATCTTCAATCTCTGGGCAGGATGGATCCTTGGATGTAGAAAAGACATCAGTTACTTCCCTAGCTGGGAGTTCACCTTCCCAAGTACTTTCCTCTGTGCCTTTTTGGTGAGCCATTTCATATATCCTATAAATACCAATTTATTCAACCCAAATAGTGTAGAATGATTTTCCCCTAACATTTATACTACTTTCAAGTAAGAAGAGGGAGAATGTAAGGGAAGTCACAGTTCTCTTTGCAGGAAGAACATTGTCCACTGCTTTGACTGTACTGAACAGGCTGCTGGAGGCAGAGAGGGAGGAAATGATCTCTGGAGGCCCCTTTCCCTGCGTGTCATGGGAAAGAAGGAAGAAGGTCTGCGTGAGAGACCGGGAATCTTCCATAATGTGAAACAGTGGGAGTTAAGAGACCTGGTCACAAAGGCATGCTACTGTCAATAGCCAGAACTGTTATTTGAAGCAGCCTGCCTTTGTAGAAAAGCTTTCTGTGGACTTCAGATGATCTTAAGCAAGTTTTACTGACAACCAAATACTCAGGCTTTTTTTCCTTTTATATAAGAGACTATTTTAGAAAAGCTTACTCTCTCTTTTCTCTAGAAGATTCTCAAAATATGCTGCGGCAAAAGCTGGTATATTGGCCGGTTGCTCCCTCAGAATTTCACGTGTCAGCCCTTCTAGAAGATTCCCAAATCCTTGTGGAATTCGATAGTGGGTGTTGGAGAATGGAATCGACATCTCCTTGGAAGGAACTGCCTGTCGTACCTAGAGATTCAGTAAAGGGCACGCTCTTAAAATAGCTCTGATTCTACCCATGTTGTTACAGCTACGATGACATTATATCTGAAACCCAACTTTTCGTCAGTTATTTACCCCTCGTTCAAGTTCATCCATTTCTTCCAAAGAATTTCGAATTCATGATTCACTAGAATGTTAAACACTGACCGACTTACCAGGTCAAATCATTTTTTAAAATTACCAAGACAGTTCTCCACGAAGTGCTTTCTTTCTCTCCCTTTCTGTCTTTCTTTCTTGAAAGCTAACTTTTGCTATCCCACAGGAATTTAGAGAGAATGATTATTAAAAAATTCACAATAAATTGTTCAGAATCTTTCAGGTCAGGTCTAAATTTAGAAAGGAAAAGGAAACGTGACGCTAATTCTTGTAGAAATGACTGAGTGGTTGAATGAGAAGTTTCCCACTCCGTATTTCAGTTAGTTTCCACTTGTGCAGTGAGACCAATAAGGACTGGGAGCAGTTCATTACGGGGAATTGGAGTTAATTACGGAAGGGAGTGCAGTGGGGAGGTCTTACTATTGCAACTCCAGCTTCTTAAAACTTTGCGCCTCTCGAATTTTCTGGTTTTGTTCTCATCAGCCCTTCCCTTCTCTCTCTATATATCAGGACTCCGTTCAGACCGGCCCCGGGGACTGGCCTGCGTCTGCGAGGGGCTGGCGCCAGCGAAGACCACGCCGGGGAGAGTCGAGTCCGAGGGTTTTAACCGAGTATTTTCCCCTTTTCTATGGGAACAGGCGAGGTAGGGACCTGTCGCAGGCTTGGGAGAGCTGGTGGGACCCTTCACCGGTGTCGGGGCTGGGACGTCGAGGACGGAGGCCCTGGGGCCCCAGTCTGCCTTGGGGAGTCCGGGGAGGAGTGTCGCGGAATCTGACAGCAAAAGGCGGGGTGTCGGTTTTCGGAGAGAAAGTGGGGGAAACCGCCTCACCTCTTCGATCTCGCAGAGCTGGCACCGAGGGTTCCGGTAGCTTTTTCTCGTTGCTGGGTAACCGTTTTTTGTTTGGAAAATTGAACTACGGTGGCCGAGAAGGGACGCGGGGGCGGAGTCAGACAGACCCGGCCCCGCCCCCGCGCAGGCCCCGCCCTCTCAGGCCCCGCCCCTCCAGCCCCGCCCCTTGCGGTACCCATTTCCGGAGTCCGGAGAGCAGGTGCGAGCATGCTGGAACCGGGCTTGGTGTGGGGGCTCGTGCTGCCTTTCGCCCTTTGGGCCGACGCGAGTGCAGGTGAGGCGTCCCGGCTGGACCTTTGCGGCGCGCACCCCCCTGCACTTCCTCAGTCAAGGTTGGGGAACGTCCTTCGGCCGCTAGCGGGGTTCCGTCAAGGGCTGCGGGTGCCCGCCGCGCGGGGTACCGCCCCCTCCCCCGTCCCCGCATCCTCCGGCGCCCGGTGCTGCAGCGTGTGGGCGAAGCGTCCGGGGCCACCAAGTCCAAGGGAGCTCGCCGCCGGGAAGGGGGCGAATGCAGTTAGAATATTTGGAAACAGGTGTCTGAGTCATGCGAACACTTTCGTGCTGCCCCCTCAGCGGTCCCCTCGGGGAGGCTTTTGCTTTAAGCTGGGTCCCTTGGGGAATTAAATTATACTAGTTTAAGTGGTGATTAGGGCTTAAGGAATACATCCCCCTCACCAGCTCGCAATACTCAGGGCTCAGCCTTGCCATCGAAAGCAGCTTATAAACGGATGGTGGGATAAATCAGCCTAGCTTTGAGGTGGGGGTGGCCCACGGATTCCAGGTTCTGTCAGTTCCTGTCTCAGGCTGGGCACTGGGTCCCCGCCACAGAAAAACACCATGAACTACCCGCTAATGCCAGGTAAAAATGATAGTGTCGAACTTCAAACCACTCAAATAGAACCCCCCCCCCAAAAAAAAAGATTTCTGTTAAGAAATGAAACTTAAGGGGTTGGAGAGATTGTGTAGTGGAGTGGGTAGGGGGTGTTTCCCTCTGGGCGGAGCTGGGTTCAATCCCTTGCACCACATGGGTCTCTCGACCCCAGTCAGGAGTGATCCCTGAATACAAAAACGGGCAGTAAACCCTGAGCAGAGCCAGGTTGGTCCCTAAACAAAAACCAAAAAAAGAAATGCAAGTTGAAGACCCAGAGAGACAGCCAAAGGGGGCTGGAGTGCATGCTTCCAAGCTAGGAGGCTGGACCCTGGGCACTGAGCAGGGGTAGCCAGCACGGACCCAGGAACCCCAGAAAAGCAAGGGGAGGGGGTATAAGGGAAGGGGATTTGAGGTGAGGGGATGGAGAATGGAGTACAAATGTGAGGCTGGCCTGCTTGAGAACTCCCAGATTGGACTAAGGATGTGGCTGCAGTGTAGAGCATTTACCTTGCATTATGGGTTTGATTCTGGACATGTAAAAAATAAATAAATAAAGCTTTCCTTGGGACAGAGATAGTGCACAGTAAGGTATCTGCCCTGCATGCTGCACACTGTATGTGGGCCCTGAGCATAGCTGGAGTGACGCAAACCCCGGCATCCCCTTAAAACAAAACAGACAACCCCCCCAGATTAGTTCATATTCATCCTAACTACGGCCTGAGGTAGTTTTCAGGGTGTAAACAGTGTGAAGGAGTAGGGTTCTGCCTATCACTTCCTGACTCCCACCTCCAGCATTGCAGTAAGGAGTTAGACCCCCCCACCCCCACACATACCTAATCAAACAGGCCCCCCTGCTCTCAAGACCCTACCCCTCAAGTCCTACAGTGAGTCCTACTGTGTGACTGGCGTGGGGTGGAGGGCATCATTTTATTAGCTTTCCTATTAAGGGCTGCTGCCTGTATTACTTTTTTTAGTTGGGCTTTTGCCTTGCACGCAGCCAGCCCGGTGGAGCTGGGTTTGATTCCTCTGCCCCTCTCGGAGAGCCCGGCAAGCTACCGAGAGTATCTCGCCTGCACGGCAGAGCCTGGCAAGCTACCCGTGATGTATTTAATATGTCAAACACAGTAGCAACAAGTCTCGTGATGGAGACATTACTGGCCCTGCTCGAGCAAATCGATGAACAACGGGAGGACAGTGACAGTGACAGTTGCTTCCATTGGATAGGCTGAAACAGTAACTTAGGCCATTGTTAGAAACAGAAGTATCTACCACATTTCCTTTTATTTTTAAATTTAAAATATTTTTGGTTTGAGCTTTTGGGCCACACCTGGTAGTTCCTGGTTCTGTGCTCAGGGACCACTCCTGGCGGGGCCAGGGAACCATATGGGGTGCTGAAGATCGGCCATGTGCAAGGAAAATGCCTTACTTGCTGTGCTATTGCTCCGGCCCTCCTAAATTAAATTTCTTCTTTTGTGGTCACGTCTAATGATGCACAGAGGCTGTCCCTATCTCAGTGCTTGGGGGCTGCCCCCGCAGTACCTAGGAGACTGTCCTGCTGGGAATCGAACCCAGGTCTCTTCAGTGCAGAGGATGTGCCCACTGACTTGTCTTTCTGGCCGAACACATCCCATTTCTTTGTATCTTGTGCCTGCTGTAAATTAGCGTTTAAGAGGAAAAGTATTTAAAGATAGCAAACAAACTTAATCCTATTCTAAGTTCCTTATCTACTGGGGAGTTACTTTGCCCTTCCTTTCTACTTGACAGTAAAACTTTATGTTTTCAAACAAGCAAATAAATACAGATAGCAAATAAGAGATCTGCTTCCTGAGCAGACACAATCCTGTGGCCAAGACCTTCCATAGTCAGTTGATTGTGGAGCAGAACCTGGGACAGGAAATGAGGTCGTGAGGTACCCAGACACCTAAGGAAGACCGTGCCCACTGGACAGAGCTTTGCCAGACTGCCCAGCCTGCACGTGGCTGCCCTCCCTGCACATGTTTGTGACTCCTGTCCCTGCATGTGCCACCACTCACACAGCCACGTGTCCGTCCCTGTGTGTGACACCACTCACACAGCCATGTCTCTCATCCCTGCATCTGACACCACTACTCACGGCTACGTGTCCCGTCCCTCTCTGTGGCACCACTCACACGGCCTTGTGTCCCGTCTCTCTGTGTGGCACCACTTATGGCCACGTGTCTGTTTCTACGTGCAACACCGTTACCCACAAGGCCACATCTGTGCCTGCATGTTGGTTAATTTTTGCTAGCTCTGAATTTTCAGGGTGCCATTTCTTTCATTTTTTTTCTTTGTTTGATTCCTTTTAATGTCCTCCCCCACCATCTTCTCAGACAATCTTAATTCTAGTATCTATGTCCATATTTTTTTTTGAGGAGGGGGGTATCTGCATCAATTTTGTATTCTTATACTGTTCAAATAGCTGAAATCACTCAATGTTTGTGTTTTTCATTGGACTTACTTTACTTTGCATATTTCTTTGTGTTCCTTTTTGCTTTGAATGACAAAATGTCATTTATTTATTTATTTATTTTTATTAGTGAAACACCATGAGGTACAGTTGTAGACTTACAAATTTTCGTGCTTGGGTTTTAGTTATACAATGATCGAGTACCCATCCCTCCACCAGTGCCCATTCTCCACCACCAAAGTGCCCTGACCCACAGTACTAGTCAACGTGGATAACCGGGAGAGGGTGCGCGAGTGGGAAAAAAGAGAGACAGAAGAATGGGAGCAAGTTAATACTCTATCAAGTTCCAAATTTATTTCTCCCAAGCTAGCCCTTTATAATTGATTACATGAGGAAGTGGGCTGCTGTCACTGTCCTCCTGTTGTTCATCGATTTTCTTGAGCGGGCCCTGTAACGTCTCCATTGTGAGACTTTGTTGTTACTGTGTTTGGCATATTGAATACGTCACGGGAAGCTTACCAGGCTTTGCCATGTGGGCAAGATACTCTCGGTAGCTTGCTGGGTTCTCAGAGATGGGTGGAGGAATTGAACTCGGGTTGGCCATGTTGGCTGCATGCAAGGAAGGCAAATGCCCTGCCTGCTGTGCTATCGCTCCAGCCCAGAGAGAGTGAATCTATAAGGTAGCACTGTAGCACTGTCCTCCCGTAGTTCATTGATTTGCTTGAGCAGGCCCAGTAACGTCTCCATTTTTTTTTGAGACTTGTTACAGAGGAAGTGGGCAAAATGGAAAATTAACAAAGCACGTGGATTTTCAATAAATCATGGTGTGAGCCCTAACGATGGACTCATGGCAGTTATCCTGGGAATAGCTCAGAAATTTACACAGTATATTTTATTATTTTTCCAAGAAGAGATTAGTTCTTAAACTGCAGGTCAGGCTGTTCTGACATTTTGGCTCCCGGCATCTCCTCCCTTTTTATTTTTAAAATAGGCCATTAAGTATCTTATAGAGAGCCTTAATTTTTATATTTGAAATAGGCAATTAAGTATCGGCAGTATAGAGGGCCTGTTCTTGCAGCTTCAGAGATAGCTCAACCCATATCACAGAAGGCAAGTTCCCCTTCATGGAAAGAAGGTCATTAACTAGCGGGGGAAGTAGGGGCCTATCCCCAAGTCACTTATTAAAGATCCTTTTAATGGGGAGAGGAATGTTATTCAGATCCAACCTCTATGCAGATAGGCGTGCTTCTACGAGCTCAGGACAGTCTTTGAAGGCTCCTCGTTGGTGGATACTGCCCGGTTCTGCCCCCCGGAGGTGCCCATAGCATCATCACAACTGCCCTGAGATACAGCTGCCCTAGTTCAGGTGTGAGGAGCCAGTAGCTGCACAAGGAGCGGGTGTACAGGTCCATCGAGGCATCTCTAGCCCTTAATCAGCAAGATCCAATTGGTAGTAATGAATTTGGATGGGTTTTGATGCCAGGGAGTCAATCTGCTTTTTTATAAAAGCCATAACTTGAGCGGGCCATTAAACAAAAATGGAGCCAGGGATATTACAATCAGGATACCAAAACGGGGACCAAGCAGGGGAAGCACATAAGGTAATATCCCTCCCATCCCCCACCACCCTTGGGAGGCATCAGTGGGTCATCTCCTCTCCTGGAGCTGTCTTACTCGATCTCGGACCATGCTGCTCTGGTTGAAGAAGAAGCAGCATTCTTCTTGCAAAAAAAAAAAAAAAAAAAAAACCACAAAGGCTGCCCTGTTCGGCAGTAAGGAGGTCCAGGCCTGTTCAATTCTGCAATACAACTTGGGCCCCTGCAATTCTCAATGAACTCAGTCCTCCACAGGACATAGTCGCCTCCAGACAAGGTGGCCCGTGCCAAAAATTACCAATCATTAGGTGTCAGCCAGTGGTCACTAAGATTATAAAGGGAGCTATGGGTCCATACTGGGTTACCGGTCTCTTTCAGTT